ATCATATGTAACTCATTAAATATCGAAATTAGAAGAAGAATGCACTATTTTTAATTATAGGAAATGCGTTTTTCTAAGGTACATAAACTTTTGGGATTGAATGTATAGCCAATACATCCTTAAATTAGCATCTCAAGTCATGCGTTGAAACGAGGCAAATATTACAAGCTGCAAGTACTCAGGGAAGATACAAAGGAATTCGATCGAGACACAGAGCGCCCTTAACCACACAGCACGTGAGGAATATTTCGTTGACCGAGAAGGTCTATTGCGGTGGAAGAAACGAGCGTACGCCGAAGTCCGGATGCCTCGCAAGAACCGCAACGGTGTGTCAGGAAACTTGCCGGAGTTTACCTTTCGCCTAGTCGGTTCTTGATCGTAATGGACTCTCGCTAACGTTCAAAAGCGGACCATCCGAGTATCGGTCGTTCTCTCGCTGTGGCATAAAGCGAATTCAATCCACTCCCGTACCAGATATTACGTTTCCGAGAACGTCTGACAATTTCCGACTAGAGAAGCTAAAAATAAACGAGCAACTCCGTTGTTTCGCAGTTTGTTGCTATTGCACTATTTTATTGAACTGCAAGAAATCGTGAAAGGATTTAAATTATAAACAAGAAATGAAGCAACTTTTTCATTAGATCACTATTTCTTTATAAACATGTAATTTTGTATACAGATTAAAAGATTACACTGTAATTTATTTAAGGTCGTACGAGCCCTAAGATCTCTGCCAAAAGTTTAAGACATGTAATAAAAAGGGTTTAATATTTGAAGCAATGAACTATCAGAAAAACTGATAATTCTGCGAAATTACATAATGCGTTCCGTCCCCTAATTAATTTTAAGTTACTGTCACGGCTATAGGATAATTCGATCACGGGGGTGGAAAACGATTTTCCATAAAAACCGACATCAAGGAAGTGATTACCGTGAGAGACTATATGCAATTTCGGGCCGCGAGATCCTTTCAGGGCGATAGGTACGCAACGTTGGAAGTCCATTAGGTCGAATTTCCTTGAAGCGGCGACGACGCGACGAGGTGAGGCAAACCGGGTGGGAAAACCCGTTGTTCACGTTAATAATTATTATCGATCGCCCGTGTCAGGAGTTAAACGAAGCAGGACCTGCAATATTCCTTTGTGCGAGCCTAGGTTCTGCACGGCCAATCGGATAAGCCCGATTGCGCGGCCCACTTCGCCGGCGATGAATATTTATTTTGGAAAAGCGCTATAGAACTGGACGCGACGTTATCGCGTTCGCTTGATTTCATCCGCTCGAGAAACAATTAATCTCGAGTCGCGGTAGGATCCAACCGGATTTCAAACCGAATTCGACCACGGCTTGAAACTCTTCACACAAAACGAACATTTATTTTCATCTTCCTCTCTCTGTCTCTCTTTCTCGGTCGCTTTTATTTATTACGCGTCGCTCATATTTTTCGTTGATTTTTTTTTTTCTCCAATTACTCCCGCGTAATAGAGATCCGCGAGTTCGTTAGTGAAGGGAAATATTAATTTTCCGCGGTGGTCAGCTAAAAGGAATATGTATTCACCGAGTCTTCCACGTTGTGCAACTAGAAAAACCCACTTTTTCGGATGCGAAAAGAATTATTTAAATCGTGGCAGGACGTAGGGACGATACGAGCTAACTCGGCTGCATCGCGAAATGTAATAATGAAGAAGTAATTCGATCAAATGCAGTGTAAAAAATTCAAGTTACCAAGGATCGCGATAACCTTCTAGAAATTGTTAGCAGGGTATTCTTTCCCAGAAAAATAATCTCAGTTTCTTACAAAATGCACTTCCTTAGCAGAAATTATATCTCAATAGTAGTTAACACATAGAATAATATTACTCGTTTACTAAATGTCTCGTTTATTATTTTATAAATTTCATTTACTATTTTATAAGCTCGTATATTAAGCTTGTGTGAACGCTTACATAAAAATAATGATA